TAAAGGAGAATGGGAAAATAAATTTTAATCATGTTTTTTTCATCCCAACATAGTTTGTTTTTGTTTCCTAGGTTCTCTTAACTACTTTTAAATAATTATGTTTTTAAAATTGTATTTTTTTCATAAAAGATTTTGAATTGTTACTTTTTTTTTAAATCAGTGCTCTGAGAACAAGAACAAAAAAGTCATCAAAATCTTTTACTGATTCAGATTGAGGGTGTCATCTGTATAAAAGATATATGCTTCTTTTTTTCCCCAACCCCCACCTTCCAACTCTTTTTTATTGGTAATTTTCACAAGTTGAAGCCTCATATTACCAACTCTAGGAAAGCTGATACTGTGACTGCCACTCTTCAGTTAGTGTTTCAGATAAGATATATTTTGTTCACTGGTGTCATTTAAGGTATTTCTTAAATACTGCAATTTGAAATAGAAAAGAGACAAAATGAAGTAGTCTTGTGATGAGCATTTATCTAAATAAAGTCTTAATTTAGCATGAGAATAGTAGTAGTCTGATCTTAAAATGAAATGTTTGTATGGTTTTTCTAGGAGCTATGAATCAAGCAGATAAAAATCAAGAAATCCCATCATACCTTAGTGATGAACCACCAGAAGGCAAGTATACAGTTACAACATGAAAGATGGAAAGAATATACGAGTGAATGAAAGTTTGATTGATTTTATTAAATTTATAGAATTATAGCTTGTTTACCTGCTCAGTAAATGTTTTAAAAGTAATAGAAGATAAACACTTGTACTTTTTAATTAAGAAGCACAGGTATTGGTGAGTGGAGACACAATTTAACTTTTTTTTCTTGAGACACAATTTAATTTTATCATGTAAGGCTTATTTTCCTGTCACATTTTAAAGACCATTTCACAAGGAAGAACATCTTTTCATAAACTGTTTATTTTTGATGTCCTGTATACAAAAAAGATCAGCTTAATTTAAGAAGCATTTGAGATTTGTTGTTAAACTCCGGTTATCCATTGTATTATAACTGGTAGCTCTCTCTTCCTATATTAATAAATACATGGTTATAGGGTCTTTTAATGTCTTTCTGAATCATAATTCTCTTATAGTTTGAAAATTATGACATCATGAAACATTTTTCTATTTCTTTACTTCCAAAAGCCTTGGAAATAATAACTACCCCCTGGATTGTCCTCATTCCATACAGAAAATGACTACAGGCTTTTTTTTTTTTTTTGAGAATTTTTAATATTTATTTTTTAGTTTTGGCGGACACAGCATTTTTGTTTGTATGTGGTGCTGAGAATCGAACCTGGGCCGCACGCATGCCAGGCGAGTGCACTACCACCAGAGCCACATTCCCAGCCCGGCATTTTTAATTTATAGTTTTGGCATAGAATGTTATTAAACTTAATATAAATAATGATCTTGGAGGATTGCATATTAATTGCTAGGGCTGGAAGTCCTGACTCTAGGTGTTATATTTTCCTCCCAGTTATGTTATCCACTGTTCAAAAATTTTTTTCATATATTCGTAGATAAAAACGAAATTGCTAGGAAAATAACACAATGAAAAGCTTGCTCTTAAGTCTAAAAGAAGATGGAAGAACTAGCTAATTTGGTTTAATTTAGTTTAGTTTGCTTGGTGGAAGAATATCCTGGAAAATTATTAGCTCTTTTCCATGCTTTATTTTTTAGGACTAGAACGATTTAGTTTTGAAAAGTTAGGTCTCAAGAGAAAATTAAAAGGACTTTATGGAAAGAATTCAGGAAAAGGATAAAGGCATCCAAGAGGATGACAAGAGAACAGAGCCTCAGGAATATATTTTAATGTCAGCTGTTTAACAAGGGTAACTGCAAAGCAGATAATTTGTGTGGTGGCAATTAAGAGTACAGAGTAATTGAAGAGAATAACAATATTTAGCTTATTTAGTAAGAAAAAATTATTTGTCTTCATTAAATTTGGCCAAGTAAGATAATTTTGTTAATGAGGTATTTGGCATGATTCAGTCATCTATGTTATCCTTAAATCAGGGTATTGCCTCTCTTCCTAATGTATTTGACTTTAATTAAAAAAGAATTATCAATTATGTAATCTTTTCCATCATAATTTTATAATTAACATATTAAAATGCTCATCTATATCATAAGCATTTTATTTCAGCCATTCAAAAATTGTATAAATTATGCTTACTATTTGTTTCTCCTTTTGTGGTGCTAGGGATTGAGTTCAGGACCTTGTACATGTTAGGCAAGTGCTAGGTCACTGAGCTACATCCCCAACTCCTTAATAAACACATTTTTTTTTTTAATTTAGCCATTGTTATATCCATACCTAAACACTATTTTGATTAATGACTGAGATTTTCCCAACTTATGGTACAATGTTGTCCTGTGTACCCAAGAATTCATCTTTATTTGTGCGAGATTATACTTTTTCAGTAGGTAAAATCTGAATTACAAACTTCCTATGAAGTTTAGAAAAACACCATTGATGATGTGGCATTGTTGCTTAAATTATTAGGTGACAAAGGAGAAAAGACCTGTGTTCATTAGAAGCTGGTATGATGAAGCTTTTATGAAATCTTACTATATAAGTTTGAAGTTACATCTAATTTTTAATGGCTCTATTTAAAAAAAACAACCTTCAACCAACCAAAGAAAATTAACTGATGACTTAGAAAGAGCTAAATTTCTTATATTGATATTACTTTTCTGGGGTATCTAAAAATAATTTTTTTAAATAAGATGTTTAAAGTGCAGACTTTTTTCCCATAAGAATCACTGAGGAAGTGATATAAATATTAACAATGTATGCTATAGTGTATATTTTACTTACATCTAAATAAAAATGATATTAGGTAACAATTTTAAATTATGAATAGTTTTGTTTTTCTGTTTTTACACAGTATTAGTTGTTTAAGTATATCATTAAGGGACACAACAGAGCAGGGACCCAAATATATTTAAATCAGCGATTTTCAGCTTTTTGATATCAAAAAACTTCTTAAAAAATTGAGGCCCAGATGGCTTGTGTTTAGTAAAAATTGAATTTGAATTTTATTCACCAAAAGAACCCAGTATACACATTACATGTTAACCTGGTTATCATGTTCTTATGAAAAGTGACTCTTTCCTAAAACAAAAAAAATATCATGAGCATGGTGACACTGTTTATACGTTTTTGCAAATATCTTTAATGTTTGGGTTAATGGGTGACAGCTGCATTTTGGAGTTATTGCTTCATTCAGTTTGTTGTGGTATTTAGCTTCTGGAAAACTGTTGTAAACTTGTGACACAATGAAAGTGTAAAGTCAATGACATGTTAATATTACTATGAAAGTAGGTTTTTTTTTTTTAAATTTAAAGTTGTAGATGAACACAATACCTTTCTTTAAATTTATTTTTATGTGGTGCTGAGGATTGAACCCAGAGCCTCACACATGCTAAGCAAGCACTCTACTACTCTGAGCCACAACTTCAGCCTGAAAGTAGTTTTCATCTGTGGATATCTTCTGAAATGGCCTCAGGGTTCCCCAGGACTCTTGGGTTGTATTTTGAGAACCACTGCTTTATATGAAGACTGTTTCAGTAGTGATTGAATCCTATCAAGGAAATTGAAGGCTATGTAAATATTTTATTTTTATTTTTTTCATGGTTTTGGGATATTTAAAAAAGATTTTCTTTTTTTTTTTAAAGATTATTTCTTAACAAAACTATAAATCAAGGAAGCATGTGAAATTAGATCTTTTAAAATAGGATTGTTTTATGAAAGTTGCCTCGTCTCTAAATCATTTCTTTTCATAGGTATTAAAACTTAGTTTTGGACCAGCATATGTATACAAAACTATACCCTCGAGGCAAGAACTCCTCAATGTCTTTCAATCAGTCAACTGGTTGGCTTCTCAAATCAACTTTCTGATTGTGAGGGAGACTGTTCAATGACTTTTGTACTGCTCTTTATATTTATATTTATATTATTTCTTTATATTTATATTTGATTATATTTTCTCTCATTAGGTTCAATGAAAGATCATCCACAGCAGCAACCAGGCATGTTGTCCCGTGTGACTGGGGGTATCTTCAATGTTACAAAGGGAGCTGTTGGTGCCACCATCGGTGGTGTAGCTTGGATTGGTGGAAAAAGTCTGGAGGTGACCAAAACAGCTGTTACAACTGTGCCTTCCATGGGAATAGGGCTGGTGAAAGGGGGTGTTTCTGCTGTGGCTGGAGGTGTTACAGCTGTTGGGTCCGCTGTTGTAAACAAAGTGCCCTTAACAGGAAAGAAGAAAGACAAATCTGACTAAAATATGGAGATATATTGCTCTCCACAGCATTATGATGCCAGTGGCATTGAATTGCTAAATTATGGACTACAACCAAGTCACCTGTTTTGGACGTTTATCTTCTAAACTGCTGTGTTGAAAGTATTGACGACTGGCTTTCATCTAAAAAGAAGAGACCAATACTAGCACAGTGTATGAAGGTTTCTCATACTCAAATTCCAGGTTTTTATCTGGTAAAATGTTACTCTTATTCAGTTGTAACTGAAAATATGGTATGTTTGAATATTTACTATAAGTCTTTCAGTTTGACTAAAAATGTGAAAGTTGAATTTAGTAGATGATCTTTACAGTTCCATATGTACAATGTGCCAGGTAACTCATGCCCCTTACAAAGGGAACTTTGAACTACATAAACTGTACCTTTGATGTGCCTAATAGTTTCAGATGTCTTAGTTTTTTAAAACCATAGTTGTTTAGGCCAAGAGGCATTTTGTTTCTTATTTAAGCTGGCAAAAGTAGCAGGAATTTGAGAAGTTTAAAAGAAAAGATAAATGGTTTTATGATAATATTAATCATCTTTTGTTAGATATGCATTGTATTCATTTAATCATTGATGCCTTACAAAAGAAAACATCTTTTCTAATACCTTAAATATGTGCAGTTCTTATAATTATCTATGGATTTTTTTTCAAGGTTGTAAAATTAGTTTTCCCTCTTAAGAATCTCAGGAGTGATGGGATAAAGGCATTTCTTGCTGTCAGTTGATAAGACAGTGCTTGTTAGCTGTTCTGTTAAGTCGTTAAGGTCAAATTGTATATTTCAACTTGGATTCTTACTTCATTGTTAATTCACCTAACAGTGCCTAAGGAGTATTTCTTAGCCGTTCAGAAGCTATGTTGGAAGAGTTTCAGATTAAGGAGGAACAAATATTAAGTATTTAAAAATTACCTAAAAGCATCCAAGATATAAAAAGAATCTTTCACACCTATTCTGTCTTTTTAGGATGTCTTAAAGTATCAGTAGTTCTCCCTTTTAAAAATACAATAAAAGCAATCACAAATATGTAAGGACTGACTTTTAAACTGAATGAAATGGGCTCCATACATCAGTTTTGAATATAAAATATAAGTGCTTTCTATGATTTACATAGGCTTTTAAAAATATCTTACAGTCCTTCAACACAACTGTAGACTTCATACCATTTTTCAAATCAATTTCAGATAGGGAATTGAAGTTTTTGATTATGGATGGCAAATGTGTCATATCTTACTACATTTGTCATCCTGTCTCATTCATTCTCAAAGTTACATAGCTAGAATTTTGTTTCATGTTTAGCTTCATGAAAATTTAATAATTCACATGTATTTGGCATTCCTTATAACTGAGGATTATACCTTGATCCTGAAAAAAACCCTTAATTTTCTTTACACTTCAAGTCTGGAAATTTGCCCATTCTTCCTCTACCTCCCAAAGGGAGGAAGAAAGGGCAATGGGGTCATGTTCTCCAGTAAGTCATTCAACATAGTATCTCTGAGAACTTGAACAGATCACTCTGAAACCTGAGGCTTATATAAACCACTACAAATATTACATTAATAATGTGATTAACAATTGGATAAGAATATCACTTTTAGCTTTCATAAATACCAGCAGGAATTTTGAGCAAATCTTCACAGGGTCTTGAACCTTTCACTTATACAAAACTGAAGTCATCAGGAGTTCAATCCATGAGGAATTAAATAGTCATTTATTTCATGCAATATGTTGGTATATTGGTCAAATGTTTTAATTAGCAAAGGGAATTTGTTTTAAACTCCAAAGTAGATAAATGCTAAATGATCTAAGTAATGGTATTAGAGAACTTGTTTTCTGCTATTACATAAATTACTGCTTCATTGCTAGTATTTTTAATTTATCTTACATAGTCATAGGCCCTGCTGTTTTGTACTTGAATTTCTTCTAAGGTATAGACTTTAGTTTACTATATGCTTGCATATTTATTTTTAGCTTTGCTTGTCTTAAATTTGCTTGAGGAAAATGGATATAATTCATTTCTGCTACAGAAAAGTTACTTGGTACATTTTATTTCATCCAGATTGTTTTAAATTCTAACCACAACTTTGTTCAGAGGGGCTTTTGCAATGGTAGCAGAGAACTGTACAAATGTACAGTTTAGGTTCTTGTTGAATGAACTTACCCTTTGATGATATATGTACAGCTGTATCCTCAAGTCTTTTCCAGTTTATTTACATAGACTAGCAATTTGACCTGTTAAACAGGACGTTGACTTCAAGAAACTGCAATCGTTTTATACACCTGGAGGTATCTTACTCAGCTTATTTTTTGAGTGGGTATTTGGCACAATGAAGATAAACTTGTGTGACCCACTTGAATGACTGATCTAATAATGTTGACATGAATCCTGTACTTACCAAAATGTCAAGTGAAAATAATTGATGATTAATTTTTTTGTATTAAAGAATGGGAAACAAACATGAACTTGTTAATAAAGCACTATGATCTGCAAAAGGTGAAATGTTTCATAAAGATGGAGAAATAAAGGAAATTTAAATACAGGATAATCTTAAAACTTAGTTACATAGCAGTTTAGAAAGTGCTATATCCAGTTTTTAATTTTTGTGATAATAATGTACAAACATAACATTCCAACATAACAGTGAAATATATTTTAAACACCCGTAATAGATTAAAAATGCAGATTTCTAGGTTTTACCTCAGTTTGCCAAATCTCTGCAGGATAGAGCCCAGAACTGCATTTTAACAACCTCTGAAGGTTACTGTGCACACTGAAGTCTGAAACTGGGGAAGGAGTTTATAAAGTAGGGAGCACCTCTTAGACCACTCAATGGGCAGAAATGAGAAACAATGGGGAGGAAGGTAGGAAACTACTACTTATTGGGCATCTGCTTTCCTGCCAGGTCCTAGCCTACATCATTTAATCAGCATAAGGTTTAGGCCAGAAACATCTTCAAAACCTTTTTTTTTACAAATGCAGAACTGGCTAACTTTCACATTGTTAGTTGAATTTCCTGTATTGATTTTGAATTAGTGTCAGTCACAACTTCTCCAGCTTAGGTCCAGAAACAAATGGGCCTGTTCAGTAGCCAGTCTTTCCTTCTGGTGTTGATATTCAATGTAGGCTGTATGTTTGATTTATCAGGAAGCTTACTGGAGTAATGCCAGGTGATCATATTTACTGTGGCAACAAATTTTATTTTGCTGTAGAAATAAGTTTAATGTAATCATACATAAATTGAAGGCAATTTAATTTTGTTATTAGAACCTTTTCTCAAAGAGGAAATGAAATTGACTAGTGTTTCATGCAAGAAAAGCTCCCCTTGCCATGCTGTAGATTTTCAGTTTTTTAAAAGTTTTATTTCATATGGAGATAGGAGAATGTAAGAATGGAGAAAAGGCAAAGCAAAACTATTTCAGAGGCCAAACAAACAATGGAATGGAATTTGGCCTAAGGGAAAATAAAGTCAGTATAATTGCTGGACTGACCATAAATGTGGATCTGTTTTTAAAAAAATGGTAATCTTCAAATATGGAATAAGCTATAGTTGTATTTTCTAACTGCCTCTGGTTCCCTGTGCCTGGACCCGAGGACCTAAAATTTTAACTTATATATTGACTATAGTTTCTTTTTAAATCAGTGTCCGGAAAGGACACGTGGGCTATTGAAGTTTTGTCCAATTATCCTCCCCTTCCATTGTGTGTTTACTTTCCTCTCAAATGACTTCCTCTATTTCCAACCTTCTACTTGTTTCCTCCCTGATTCTACTGTCATTTGCAAAGAGGCAACTAGACAGCCCCTCCCCTGCTTTTCATTCCACTGGCTCCCATCAACCTGCCTACGTCTATCCCAGGCTCTGTGGACTAGGACCAGAATCTCTGCTCTTAACCAAAGTCAATCTTCCTTCCTTCCTCAAGGCTATTAATCTTGCAGTTTTCCATCTCTTATTTGTGTCTCTTGGGTTATACCCTTCAGCATATAAACATGTTCTTTAAACAAAAATTAATCTTGAAACTTCATTTAAAATTTTTTCCTTCACAGCAAAATGACTTTTCCTTGTCTCCCATTCTCTTTACAATCCACTCCAGTTGGCCTTCTCACCTTCTTCATTACACCAGAAACACTCTTCACAGGGTTAATCAATACTTTCCTTTTTGCAAACCTGCTAGTCTAAGAGCCACAGCCAAGTAATATGATGCATGGCATTTTTGGTTGAAAGGTGACACCAGCTAGCCATTGAGATATGATTGTTAAGATTTGCATTCATATGGATATTGGACTCCTGCTGTTCACCTTGGCCTGCTATGGGACTCCTGGAGAGTTCCCATTGGTTGGGGATACAGTAGGAGGGAATTCCGGGAGAGGAACTTGCTGGGGGGGGGGGGAATTCCAGGAATCGGGATTGTTGGGGGGGGCATACGGGGCATTGGCGGCAGTTTCAGAAAATAAAGTTTGTTCCTGCTTGAGTGGCTCGTGATTTTGTGCCCAGCCAGACTGCGGCAATTCTCTACCATAGTTGACCTCCCATTGGAATTGTTACAGACCATGTCTTCTTTTCTTCCTCTGATCAACTTTTCCCATGCTCACAGCTGTCTTAATTCCAAATCTACATTCCAGACAATCTCATCTAGACCCATGGCTTTAAATACCACAGTATGCAAATGATCCTCAAATGTGTATCCCCAGTTTTGACAACTCCAGACTTAGTCATTTGCACATTTGACATCCCTGCTAGAATGTTTAATAGGCATCTCAAAATTGACATCTAATCACCGGGTTAGATGTATCTAAACCAACTGATTAGTGTATCTAAACAGATATTTTCGAGAGAGCACCAGAGAGTTTGCAAGAAAGAGAACATATTACTGATTAATGCCAGGACAAAACTATGCAAGTGTTCTCCTTCACACTTAGAATGAGATCCTTTCTATTCATAAGGTTTGAACAGAAGCCAGATCTGAATAAATCTAGGCTCTCCTACTTGGCAGCTGAATAACATCTCTAAGTTTGTTTCCTCTGTAAAATGAGGAAAATACTGAATGCACATAAGTGCTTCATGAGAGATAATGGTTGATTGGTTTCAAAAAGGCCACAAAGGTAGGCTTCTGTACTACTTTTGGATTAGTAATACTTGGTTCTCAAAAGTATTTATTCCAAACACAAGTTCTCAAAAAAAAAAAAAAAAGGTGTCAGAAGCTTGCTAATGCTTCACTAACACTAAGCTACAATTCACGTAAAAGCAAAGTGATGTTTCAGGGCTGGTAATAAGGAAGACTATCTACATCTTCAATAAAACATGAGTAAATGTTCCCATATTTTGAATTAAGGGAGTGTACTTGTCAATTTTTAGAAATGATTCACTTATAAATTTTCACACTGATGTGCCATTGAATAGTACAAGAGTTTTTGGAATAATAGTTCAAGGACAATGAATTAACAACTTTGTAAAAAGTGCAGTTTGTATTTTGGGTTTTTTTTTTGTACTAGGGATTGAGCCCAGAGGGCTTTTACAACTAGGCTACATCCCCAGCCATCTTTATTTTTTGAGACAGGGTCCCATTGAGTTGCTTAGGACCTATGTTGCTGACCTTAAATTTGGGGCCCTCCTGCTTTAGCTACCTGAATCTCTGGGATTATAGGGATGTGCACCACAACCAGTCTGTATTTTAAAATATGCAAATGAGTCACAGATCATCTACTCAGAGATAACACCTCAGAAGCTAGGTCCTTAAAATTACTGGTGCCCATTAACTGCCTGAATTGCTTAAGTATCTGAGAATCTGTTTCATTATTGTTAAGAAGAAGTAACATCAGTCAGTAAGTCATTCTTCAACATTTAATGGTGCCACAGGGTTAAATAATGGCCTCTCTTTTTTGGCTTGAATTTTGCCAAAGTTAGCTTCAAACTCTTTTTTTGTTCCATTTAGATTTGCTAGGTGTCCGTCCTTTATTCTGTAGCCTAAAGAATTTAGTTTCCTTATTCTGTACTGAACTATCTGTGGCGTTAATTCGAGAACCATTGGTGTCTCTCTTATTTGAGCTATGGAAATTCCTTCTTTTAATAATCCCTGAATTCTCTCTTCTAAAACTGGAACAGAATAATATAAAAGAGCAGGACATTTCAAAACTAATTGCTTCAGGTCATGATCTGTGCATTCAAAAGCATTTTTAGAGAAGGAAATACTGTTCTGGATACCTCTTGGACAAAGTTGAAAAAGAAATCCTTTGAGTTTGGACAGAAGTTGAAGAATTTCAAAGTTTGTAAAGCCTTGCTTCTGGAGAAATTCTAGTGTTTCCTTTATAGTTGTAGGAGACCTTAACAAAATAAATGGATTTTGGCTTAATAATTTTAGTAGCCAGACTTTCATGTTGGCCTCAGAGCCACCTACATTTAGGTAACTCTCTTGAAGGAGCTTTATCATTTCCTTATTCTTCTCAACAGGATTATGAAAAATATTGGATGCAGTTGTCAGAAATCTACTAATGACTACATTCTTGAATCCCAGCTCTTGAAAGAACTGAACATTGAGCTTTAGGTTCTCCTGGTTCTTAACAATAAAGAAAGATTCTGGAAACTGCTCTATTAACTTGACTAACTCTTCCTCATTTTTGCAGACTAACTGCCAGAGTTTTCTCTGGGTGTCAATAGCAGCTGGACTACAGACAATTGCTTCTGGGCAGCGTTCCAAAATACTGGCTATTACAGCCTCATCAGCACCTAGTTCTTGTAAAATATTTGCAACTTCTTCAACATAGGTTTCATCCTCCAGAAGTACCCATCCTTTTAAACTTCGAATTTTCCTAATGTCAACTGAAAATTTATAGAGCGTTTCCACTGTTCTTTTATTTTCTTTGTTTGACTGCCTGTCTGTTGTAAAGTATGCTAGAAAGGGTTTGTATTTTGGAGTTGATTGCATCTTTCTGAAAAAACACAGCCTGCAAGGCTGCGATCTCACCAGCAACTTCCACAACATGCCTGTAATCCAGTGGCTACTTCCCACAGTCCTGGGACTCAGAATGCAGCCAGTGCACCTATAAGAAAGAAGATAGAGGTTTTTAATGTAAGAAGTGTTGACTTTTAGAACATAGACACTAACAGGTTAGTTCTAAGTAGTAAGTGTAGAAATAAAATGGTTTTACATTAGGAAAATTACTCATGGAACATTTAAATATTCTTTTAGATGAACATCTTTCTACATTGTCTGAGATTTATTACAACTTTGTGAAGTAGTTACTTCTGCTTTGCAGATCACCCATATCAAGACCACAAGAGGTGGTAAGATCCCAGCCCTGCAGGCTGTGTTCTTTCAGGAAGATGCAATCATACTCCAAAATTCAAACTCCTGGGCCTCAAATTTTTTTTCCCCACACAAATTTTCCTTCCTACAACTGTTGTTTTCTTGTAGGAGACACATTACACACACAGACACACACAAACACTGAAATGTTTTCCGTTTTTCCAGTTGATTTATCATAACAAATCCAAATGACTCTTAGGAAAGAGTCATTTCTAATTTTGTATTTTAGAGTAAATATTTTTGTTGAACAGCTACCATACAAAATAAGTCAGTTTATTTTAAATTAGTTAATAAATGTATGCTTGTTTTATTAGAATCATGTGAGTGAAATTTCTTTTATAAATCCAGAATTAAAATAAATCTTGGCCAGGAAAATGAGAAGTGCCACATGACTGCCTTAGTGGGGCCAGGAGAAACTGCCAGCTGTGGAACGGTGGCCACATTTTAAACCAGACTTGCCAGCTATTCCCACTGGATGCTTTTGGGTAGCATGAGATGGCTACAGTGCATCTGATACACTGCAGCCTTTACCACTGCCAGTTGGCCACACTCCACCTCCATCTCCTTAGGGTCTCGCTGAGCCCAAGAATTAAACTGACATAAAACAGATTAACTGGAGAAAACAATAGAGATTGATTTAATACTAGTTTTACATTGCATGGGATTCATCATAAGACCCCAAGAAATAGTATAGAGTTAGTTATGCTAAACTGGGCAAAGAATAGTACACTATGAAGAAACAACCAAATTGTGTGAGGGGATTTAAAGAGTTATCTTAATAAGATCTGCAGAGAATTCTTTCAGTCTCCACTTCCCATCTGAGGATGCCAGTTCCTCTTGGTGGAGGGAGGGTGCCTTTCACATGGGAGGATCATCTGCTTTTAAGAAACAGAAAAGAGGTCAAACAGCTCCTGCTGTTTGTCAAGTGTCTTTAATTCAAAACAGCCAGTACTTCCAAGTGTGGTCTATTCTTTAACTCCTTCACCACTGTTTCTTTTGTCTGTAGTAATGAAAACACACCTGGTTCTGAGAGTGTTCCTGAGTATCAGTCCTGCCAGGAGAGCATGTTGTAGTGGGCTACTTGACTGGTTTGCAGCTTCCAGGAGTATCGGTAGGTTGAAGAGAAAGCTCGAAAACAGCTGTTTCTAATCCCTGCCCTATCTGCTGAGGACTCCTGACCTTCAAGGTTATCATAACAAATCCAGATAAATGATTATTCTATAAGGAAAAATAAGATTTCCATTTTCATTTGCCATTTGTAATGACAGTTCACTGTTAGTACCTATGGAGACTAAAACAACTATGGGCGTAGCTTTTGTTTTACTTTTGGTGGTTCAGTCTCCCCCGCCCTCCCCCCCATAATTCCTAGTGCTATTAGCCAAGATGAAAACAATGAAGTGTTTTCTAAAAATTCTAAGAAAACCATCAATTTTCACAGAAGGTGGAGGTACAGCATAGTAAGCACAGGGCTGGGGCCTGCCTTCCCACTCCCTGCTCATGAGACCCTGCTAGTTTTGGCCCCACCTTTGAGGTTCTGCAGTCAACTGCCAGTACCTAGCCCTGGCTCTAACTTAGGGAGCCATCATGGTCATTTAGCACAAACCACAGTAATGGTTTGAGCAGTGCTTCATGCTCTATGAGTATTAATAACAATAATAATTGTAATGTGGAAAAAACAGCATCTAAACATCACAGGGAAACCGGGAGGGTTAAAAGGCACATCAACTACTTTGCACAGTGACCATGTGAGGTGCTCCCATGGAGAGGCTCCTGCCAAAGGCGGCTAACAGAAAAACTCTCGCATTTTGTTTACTCCGAGGTGATCCAGGATGTGTTCAGGTGAGTTGTCAGAAAAATTAGTTATCGATTTTGCTTTTTCTCTACTGAGCAAATGCTGGACTGTAAAAATGAAAAGCACAAATGCTATAATTAACTATTATATATATGATTTATTTTCTGCTTTAATTTTACCTGCTGTTAAGTATTTCACTGTGATGTTAAAACACTCTGTCAACATTTAAAATGAGTGCATGATCTATGGGGTGAATTTATTATTATTTATAATTCATTCCTAATATTGAGCACTTAGGTTATTTGTAGTTTTACTATATGCTGAATATCTTTGCACATTTTATATGTTTTTCCTTTAGTATGAATTCCTAGAAACAGAATTTCTGGAGAGGATATGTGTAAACATTTGAAAAGTGATGTTAAATTTACTGTCTTTGTGTTTGATTTATTTTGCTTACCATATATTTTCAAAGTTCATCCATGTTATAGCAAATGTTGGAACATAGCACTTAATTTTAAGTAGTATTATTCCTGCTGCTTTTATGCATCAGATAAACAGATAAAAATTCATTTATATTTCTGTTTGAGTTTGAAAAGTTAGCTCCTATAGTTCATTTGAAATTTCTGGATGTTAGCTAAACTATTGATATTCAGATTCTCAGTTATCTCCAAGCATTTTTGGGAACAATTTTTTTTTTCCTTTCCCATGATTTCTGATATATCAAATGTAGCTTTTGTTTTTAGATGGTCTCCCTCTCCATCCTCCTATTTTTCAGTCCCCTGAACGGGCCAGGGGCTTAACAGTTCTGGCCTTTGTCTCATACTTGGCTCCTCTGCTAGACCAGCCTAAAACAATCTCTGGTCAATTCATTCTTCTACTCCTCCCACTAACAATCTCAGATCTCCAACCCCTAGCCTCCGTTTATCTCTGTTCTCCCATCTCAACTAATGCCCTTGACTCTTAATTGTACAAAGAAAGAAGAACAACTCACCACACCAAACAAATCTACACCAAGTCCCTTCCCTAGAGCTGTGCCTTTCATTTCCACTTCTGTGCTGATGCCAACTCCTATGGCTTCAGAACGCCAAAGCCTTTATTTCTCAATCAAGGTATTTATTGAAAGTATGAAGCAAATGTCACAATAAAATGAGTCACACTTTTGGTTTCCTAGCACATACAGAAGTTATGTTTACACTACACTGTAGCCTTAAGTGTGCAATACCATTACTTCTAAAAAATTATGTACCTTAGTTTAAAAATACCTTATTGCTAAAAAATATTAACAATTGCCTGAGTTCAGCAAGCTGTAATCTTTGATGGAGGATCTTGCCTCTGGGATGCTGCTGGCTGCTGACTCAGGATGGCAGTGAAAGTTGGGGTGACTTTGTCCATTTCTTACAATAAGACCACAATGAAGTTTGCCGCACCGACTGACCCTTTCATAAAAGATTTCTCCGTAGCACACAATGCTATTTGATAGCATTTCACCCACAGAACTGTTTCTTCTCAAACCCTGCACTGCTTTACCAACTACATGTGTGTGCATCCTTACTCCTTTGTTGTCCTTTCAACAGTGTCCACAGTGTCTCCACCAGGAACAGGTTCAATCTCAAGAAACCACTTTCCCATCTCAGTCAAAAGAGGCAATTCCTTATCTTTAAAGCTTTATCGTGTCATTCAACAAATCAGTCACAATGTCAGGTTCCATTTCCCATTCTACACCTCTTGTTATTTCTACTATACCTGCACTTACTTCCTCCCGTTAAGTCCTGAACACTTAAAAGTCACCCACAGGGTTGAAACCAACCTCTTCCACATTTCATTTTCAACTCCTTTTAATGTTGATACTTTGACTTCCTCCCATGATTTGTGAATGTTCTTAATGGCATCTAGAATGGTGCATCCTTTTCAGAAGGTTTTTCAATTAACTCTGTCCACATCCATAGGGGAATCACTATGGCAGTGATAGCCTCATGAAATGTAATATTTGGAAGTAAAAATTACTCCTTGATTCATGGGCTTCTGAATGGATCATGTGTTAGTAGGCATAAAAATTTAACAGTCTTGCACATCTCCATCAGAGCTCTTAGGTGGCCAGGTGCATTGTTAGTGAACAGTAATTTTTGAAGGGAATCTTTTTTTTTTTTTTTTTCCCCTGAGCAGGTCTCAATATTGAGCTTAAAATATTCAGCAAGCCATACTATAAACAGAAGAGCTGTCATCTGGGATTTGTTGTTCATTTATACAAGATGGGCAGGGCAGATTTAGTCTAATTCTTGAGGACTTTGGGATTTTCAAAGTGGTAAATTGAACACTGTCTTCAAGTTAAACATAAAGTTCATCAGCCCCCAATAAGAGTCAGCCTGCCCTCCGCAGCCAGGGACTGACTTCTCGTTTATGAAAGTCCTAAAAGGTGTAGTCTATAAGGCTGTTCCATCTACACTGAAAATATTTTGTGTAGTGTAACCACCTGCATCAGTTACTTAGCTGGATCTTCTGGCTAACTTGCTACAGCTTCCCATCAGCACTGGCTGCTTCTCCTTGTACTTTCCTGTTATAAAGATGACTTCTTTCCTGACCCCATGAGCCAATTTCTGCTACCTACAAAGTTTTCTTCTGCACCTTCCTTAATCCTCAGTTTTCACAGGATTGAAGAGTCTTAACCAAAGCCTTAGCTTTGGTCTGGGTGAGGCTTTGGTTTAAGAGGCTTTTTGGCTGGTTTGACCTTCTCTTCAGACTTCTGAAATTGTTTTCCTGTCAGTAGAAAGGCCGTTTTGCTCATTGTTCACGTGTTCACTGGAGCAGCTCCTTCAGTTTCCTTCAAGAACTTGTCCTTTGCACTCACAACTGGGCTAACTGGCACAAGAGGCCTGGCTTTGGCCTGCCTTAGCCTTTGACATACCTTCCTCACTAAGCTTAGTTATTTATAGCTTTTGATTTAAAAAGTGAGAGACATGCAGTTCTTCCTTTCACTGAATACCTGGGGGACATTTTAGGGTTATTAATTAGCCTATTCAATACTGAAGTGTCTCAGAGAAAGAGGAAGCTTGAGGAGAGAGACAGACACAGGGAATGGGGATTCCTTTTCAGAAGGTTGACGGAACAATCAGAAAAAGTGTTTATTAAATTTGCCATCTTTACGGTGTTAGAGTTCATGGCACCCCCAAACAGTCACAACAGCAGTGTCAAAGAACATTAATTACAGATCACCATGACATATAAAATAAAAAAGTTTGAAATGTTGCAAGAATTACCAAAATGTGACACAGAGACAGGGAGTAAACATGCTATCAGAAAAATGGAGCAAACAGACTTGCTGCTCGAAAAAAGGTTGTCACAAACCTTTAATTTATGAAAGGAAAAAAATGAACAAACAACAAAAAACCAGAAACAAACACAAACCCCCGGCCCCTATGCAGTGCGATGAAGCGAGGCGCTAAAGCGGAGCACTCGTTCACACCCCCCCCCTCTGCAGCGCACCCTCCGCCCTTCTCATTGCTCCTGGAGAGCACATCCCACCTTTCCTTTCTTCCAGCGAATTCTTGCAGATCCTCTACTTCCTCTTCTACTTATTTAGCTCTCAATAAAGACAACTTCCATGTGATTGGACCCATGAGTAGCGGCACAGCCTCTCTCTCTTGATCTCGGCAGGTTTCAGCACAGTTTATCTTTCCCCTCAAAACATTCTCTCATTTGCCCTCTACTTTACTCGACTCCCCTGGTTCTCCTTCCCACACCAGAGGCCACCCTTTCTCGTCTCTCCTTGTAGGCTCATATTCAAGGTTTGCTTCTCAACCTTCTCTTACCTTTTAGTCTCTCCCTAGGGCTTCAGTTAATCCATTTGGGCTTCTCTCCAGCTTTTCTTGTCACTTGCATGCACGACTTTTCAATGGCACTTTAGGATAAAGACAAAATAGAAATGCTATACCACAGTCCACAAGGCTCCGCCAGCCCCTGAATCCTCATTTCTCTCTCCCACACCAACCACACCCACTCCCTCTCCATCCCTGATGCTCTCCCTGTCCCCACTGCACAGTTTTCAAAGGCTGTTGGCTATGATGTGCTCAAAATGCATGTCCAATAACTCCTAGGTCTAAGTGTCATTTTCTCAAGGAAACTACCCTGACCTTTGGAATAGATGAAGCCTGCTGTTCCCCTTATCGGCTTTTATGTGCCATGACTGCAGTTCTGCTCCACTTATCATAGCTGCAGCTCTTCATGCACTGTTTGTATACCTCAGAAGGGCCAAGGCTGCTCACCACCATGTTCCAATGGATTGTCCCCTTACCTTTCACATGCTACCATTGTTGACTGGAGGAGGCCTTCCGGGGCCTTCCTGTGTGCTCTCCCTCAGTACCCTGCTCTTGACCTTAATGTAGCACTTGTCATACTCTTGTGAGTTCTTCATTCATTCAAAGAGTAAGTGTGTTTGTCTAAATTCAAGCTGTTCATCAGGTTTCATGCTAGGCACTAACTCTTCTGCTAAAACAACACTTATTCATGCTTTTCTTGGGATCACATACCATCTGAGAATTTGAGTGTCACAAACTCTCCAGAAAAACAACAGCAACAAAAAACACAACACAAAAACCATTCAGACCTACAACATTTTGCAGGATTCATAACCACCTTGTGGCCCAGCCATGAAAAAAACCTAAATTTACAGAAGTTGGTTCAATTGAAATGGAATGGACAAGTCAAGTTCATAAGGCAACTTAATGTAGAGGGTAAAATTGTGAGTTCTTGGAGTCAAACTGCCTGGGATTAATTCCTGGTCGTATGACTTGAGTAATATGTGCCTTGGTTTTGGGCAAAGGAAAATGGGGCACTGCTTCTTGGTGATGGAGAAGATTAATATTTAAAAGATCTGCACACCTTAGAATATTTAAAATATTTGCACATATACTGACTTATTAAATCATCAATACAACCAATTTAAAAAATGAAACACGTGCAGGTAAAGCAGCCTGCCCAAGGTTCCTAGGCTAAAAACGCTGACCTTGAATTCAAACCCAACAAACTGTGGGAGTACCCCTCTCGGCCCTGTGCCCTACGTATGGTTTTGGTGGACAATTCTCTGATGTTTCATGTTTCCTAACCGGTTTTGAGCAGTGAAATCTAGAAAACTTATAATATAGACCCCTCTATAGCAACACTATTTCCAATTAAGTTCTACTTTTATAACATAACCAGCTGACAGTTCCAAATCAATCCCGATGTTTACATACAAGGACAAATGAAAGCACAGGGGGCCTCCTCTCACACTGGGGCCCTCCTTTTCCAGAGCAGCTTAGCGGCGCCGGGCCTTGGCCCAAGCCAGGCAGGGGGTTCCGCGGTAGGCGCCCAGCCACCCGGCTGGTGTGAGGGTCACCCCGGGGGCTGTAAGAAGGGGCAACTCACCTGTCAGCGTCCACTCCAAGCAAGGTACTGGGATTCTGCGCGTCCCTGGCCCCGTCCTTGCTCCCTCCCCAGCCAACCTAAGATCTGCGGTTTTCCGGACTTCCTGAGGCTCGCAGCCCGGATCCCGGGTCCAGGGTCCCAGGCACCTCCAGGCAAGCAGCGCTAATCAAGCCACCTCGCCCCTTTGCCCGTGGCCAATCAGAGCTCGGGAAACTGGTTCGCCTGTAGCCACGCCCCAGTGCCCCGATGCAGCCAATCAGAGCGCGGGACACAGGCTAAGACCCCTCCCCCACGCCGCAAAAGTGCCCCGATGCAGCCAATCAGAGCGCGGGACACAGGCTAAGACCCCTTCCCCACGCGGCAAAGGGCAGCGAGGTGGAGGCGCCAGCGTGGGAACCAGCTTTTCAGGGAAGTGTGCCTATAGCCGCAGAGATTGCACGTGGCATCTTCATACCCTTTCCTTCCTAGCCATTTTAAGGAACTTGAAATTCCAGTCACTTTGCTCCTTAGTGATCGTCACTGACCCATAAGAAAAAAGGTAGAATTAAAAAACTGTTTTTAAGATACAGCCATTCAGAATTCTCAGGATGTTTTTTTAAAAAAACCCACAAAACCCAAACTTCTCTGAAACACCCCCCAGCTCTCACCCTATCCCAGCAGTTGGTGACCCTGTGTCCTGAAAAGTCATCCATCCCTTTTCCCCTGCCTGATGCCTTCTCCAAAACGCTCTCCTTTTCTGATGACCTGCACTGATTACTTGTGAAGCCCAGCCTCATACCGTAACACATTAATTTCTTCTTAAAACCAGGCCCAGCGTCTTCACCAATTCTCATATGCATCCAATAAAATATATTTATGGTATGCCTATTAAGGGCCAAGCATGTGAAACAGCAATGAGAAGACAGTGGTACACAGGGGAAATAGAATGTATCCTAACGGAATATAAAGGCATTAACGACACGATTAATCACCATTAGAGTTGAGTGCTACCGAGGATAGTGCCCTGACTCTGGCCTAATTGTTCGGTTTGTATGGAGGTTGAGTCAGGAACACATGGTTTCCCAGGTGGATGATCTGATTGCCACACTGTGCCCAGTTCTGTTCTTTCGGACTGTTGTATCACCTAAGGAATGAGCTCCTTTAGTACTAGTTATTTTCCTTTAAACAATGCGTGGCACACAATAGGTCCTCAGGAAATGTTAATCAAATTGAGTGTAGCCTTAGCATGCAGTTTATCTTCAACAGGCTTTATTGAGAGAAACAGATCCTTGGACATTAACATCATTGAGTGGCAGCAAGAAACCTGGCTCCTGATCTCAAAATCAACTCTGAATTCCAGGATATTCTACAATTAACTGAGCAGTTAACAGATGTCAATAGGATGCAGAGGGTTCTTGTTCAGCAACACTTCTGCCTCTGATTCTCTTACATAAAAACTCTTATTGTTCATTACCTGCTTCTTGAAATATAAGATTTGGGGTTTGAATTAACCAAATGCTATTTGCACTTAAGAAGAGGGAAGTATAGTAGGATACAGAAAAGGAAGTTAAGAAACATTAGCTCAGGATTTACATCTACATGCTGTGATCTCTGGAGGAGAAAAATGTGCACCAGGGGGCTGGAAGCTTATACTAGAACTCCCTCGGATGGTGTGAGGAATGGTAATTGTGTGCACTGCAATCAAAACTTGAAAATGACCCAGGTCTGTAATCCCAGCAGCTTGGGAGGCTGAGGCAGGAAACTCACAAGTTCAAAGCCTGCCTCGGCCACTTATGGAAGTTCTAAACAACTCAGTGAGACCCTGTCTCTAAATGAAATACAAAAAAGGGCTGGGGATGTGGCTAAGTGGTTAAGTGCCCCTGGATTCAATCCCATGTACCAAATAAAAAACAATAACAACAAATAACACTTGAAAATGACCAATTCAGCTAGCTACACCAACTATATTAAATGCTACCTTAAGTTTTCTACCCCAAATGTTTAAAACAGCACATTTCCTGGACCATACAATCAGGAGTGGGGTAGACCAAACCCTTAGGTGGAGAAATGAGGAAAAGAAACTATCATGCATATTACCTTCCGAAATGACAAACATGTTTTAATTATGGGAAGATTCTGATGTTTCTAGCATGTCTGGGATGCATGAAAAAAAATGAAGCCTGAGAATGTAGCTCAGTGGAAAAGGCTCGGGGGTGGAGGTGATGATTTTTTTACTTCTCACATTTTTTACATTTTTTACATCTCACATTAAAGCAAGTATGAAAAACATCAGGACTCTGCATAGGTTTGTTAAAAAAACTGGCTCCCTCAACTCAATTTTTTGAAGTTGTTGCACAGTTCTTGGTAATAAGAACTCAACAAGTATTTGCAAATAAATAAAAGGTCTTAAACTGGTAGGATTTCTAGATCACTAGCCCTTTAGTTAGGTGGAAAGTACTGTATTTAAATGCATCTGCTTAACTGGATCACATGGATTGATGTCACTCTTTCCCTTTCAGAGATTCCTTTTAACCATGATTTAGACCAAACTGAAAATGCTTAAAAAAAAATCTCTTAAAAAAGCAAAACAAAATCACCTATTATAAGTCAAAATAGTGTTCGATTATTAAAAAGCTTATTTACTCCCAGTAAAACTGGATCTTTCTCCCAGATGTGATGAGAAATCCCACCCAGGTCTGAGTTTCTCAATTTTGCACAGTACAATTAGGTCCATAGAGTGGGATGTGAAGTATAGTTATTGTGAAAACAATTAAAATATGACTCTGTTTTTAACAGGGTGAAAAAAGAAAGATAATGCACAGGCTTTTTTTTCTTTTTTTTTTTTTCAGTAATGGAATTTATTGATCACTGTCAGTTCATTATCCAGTATATTTTTAAAAATGCATATCATCTATGCATTGATTTATTATTGTTTCTGCATTCTGACTAAAATTTATCTTTACTAACCTTTAAATACAATTAATTGTAGTGAGTATTTGTCACTACTGAAGATGCAAAAATAAAGTCACTCGTTATAATTGAGAACAGTAAGAACCAGCCTACTAGAGAACAGTAAAGGGATAACAGCAATGGTAGTAACAATAATGGCAGCTAACCGGAGCTGTGGCACATGGCCATGTAGACTGTGTACTGTAAGGTCCAGGGAGCTATACAATATGGCCGCCCTTCAGTTAACATACATCGAGTACCTTACCACACACTAAGTGCTGATATGAGCATTTCACATGGAACTGGAGAATGAAGCCGATACTACTCTCATCCATATTTTATAGATGACAAAAAGAAAGGCATAGAAGGTTAAGGTCTTGCCCACAATCTCAAAGTTAATAAGGGCATGGCCAGGCATTAGACTCCAGAACCCACACTGTTGTCCTATATAGCCTGACTTATAAACTCCAGTATGTGAAATGATCCCTTTGTTTCTAAATCTTTCTTGCATATAATTTTGAAAAACTATTGTTTTACTGAAAATCTGGTATCAGCTCCATCATTCAAAATGGTGACATGTGGTTGAATATCATCTGTGTCTGTAATTTGCAATCATATCTCACAGGCCAAAGCTTTCTCCCTTACCATAAACAAACAAAAAAAGGGATTGAGGAAAGAAATAAACCCACCAAGTACACAAGATTCCATATTTGCATATACTTTAATAACAAAGTCACTTTAGCTGTAAATGAACAAAGACAGGGAGACAACACATGATTCTTCTACAAATTTGGGTCAAAACAGGCATACATGAAGCTTTAAGACATATATTTTCTGTGTTAACAGAGACTACACATATTAATTTCGATTATGCATATTTTCTAAAACATTATTATGAAAGAGTGCAAAGTCAAACAATAATGTCAAAAAAATTTTGTCCTAAAATTTTAACAAAGCATTTTAAGAAAGTCTAAAAACCTGTTTTCTCACATTGATTCTAAAAACTTTGAGTTGTATATCAGAATATCAATTTGCAACTTAAACTTTTACCATACATGAAAGATTATCAAAAATATATTGATGGGTCTATACTAATTGTGACTATTTATATTTACATTAAGCAAATTCTTTTACCAAGTTCTTTATATACAAATTACCACTTGCCCTATGTGAAATTCATTAAAAAGTTAAAAACCACAGAAATATCATTAGAAATAATGCATTCAAAATGCAACTGCTTTCCATCAATGAAGAACTTTTTAAATAATTTAATTGAAAAGTACTGAATTTCCCAGCAATTTCAGCTGCAACCATATTCTTCCTGAATGTTATCTGTGATTTAAGGGGGAAAAAAAAACTGAGTAAAGCTTGATTGCAAAGAACTAAAGAATTTGATAAGAATTCAATTGGTGTTTACTTATATCAAGAAATTTATAGTCTAAATAGATTTGTATAAAAATTGATAAAAAATAATGAAGAAAGAAAGTCTAATGAAGAAAGAAAGTCTAATGAAGAAACAAAGTCTTTAAAAACTGACAAATGTACCATATAAATAACTTCCATATTAATTTAAATCACAAAACAGTATCCCAAATCCAATTAAACTGAATGCAGGCATGGCATTTGATTCTTCTTCTTTTTTTTTTTTTTTCAATTCTTCTAAAAAGGCTAGCATTTAAAAAAAAATTAAACTAATGGGAAAGAATTTAGATTTTATGGGCTGGGGTTGTGGCTCAGTGGTAGAGCACTTGCCTAGTATAAAGGTCCATCAACATCTAAAAAAATATATAAAAAAAAAGAATTTAGATTTTTATGAGCAGATAAAGAATATTTTATAACAGATAAAGAATTATTCATCAATATTCAAAAGGCAAAACTTGGGGGTGTTTTTTATATCTCACATTTACTAATTAAAACAAATATGAAAAACATCAGGACTCTGCATAAAGGTATTATATTAATAATAAAGGTATTATATTAATAATAAAATAAAGGTATTATATTAATGCCATTAAAATAAAGAGGCTACTTGTTTTAGATTCATAGTCATATCATAGGAAAGAAATGAAAAAGTCATCTTTTTCCAAGATAAAACTTGACCACAAAATCATGAGCTTTCAAATTGAAAGATCATTGATTCAGATGACCATGAGTGCAGTACTTTGTCCTGAACAGATGCTTCTCTCCTATCAAATAATTAACTGATTTTATAATGATCGTTTAAGAATTTATGCCTCAAGATTTTCTGGTTTAAAAACAGAAATGAGTTCCATT